AAAAAAAAAAAAAAAAGAAAAAAAAGAAAATGATACGCTATATAGTCAGAGAATGGAGCTATATGGACTTAAGGAGATACACTTCAGGTTATTGCCTATACCTATAAAATGAAAACATGCAACAAACTATTCCATTTAGACTCAAAATATAGTTTTGTATCAATTATCTGACTGGTGGGAGAATGAATTCACTAGGCAATTGATTCAATGATCTACTTAGCTATACAGCTACATTAATAGAACCCATACCTTCATCCATCCTTGGAAGAAGGCACAACAAGAATGCATATCAGGATGTATATGTAGGGTAAAAAGATGTGGAAGTAAAGAACTCAAAAGTTCAGGTTTTCTTTTATTATTATTATTTTTTTTTATAGAGACAGAGTCTCACTTTATTGCCCTCGGTAGAGTGCCATGGTGTCACAGTTCACAGCAACCTCCAACTCCTGGGCTTAGGCGATTCTCTTGCTTCAGCTTCCCGAGTAGCTGGGACTACAGGCCCCCGCCACAACGCCCAGCCATTTTTTTTTTCTTTGGTTGTTGCACTTTGGCTGGAGCAGGGTTAAAACTCGTCACCCTCAGTATATACGGGGCTGGCACCCTACTCATTGAACCACAGGTGCTGCCCAAAAGTTCAGGTTTTCATCATCTGTAATTTGAGGCTCAGTAAACTAGAAGATTAACAAAGGGCCATTGCAGATTTGACATGCCAGGGCCCTATGACAACCTGTGAAATGCTCACAGGTAGCAGAAAAGAGAAGGTGTAAACTCTTAACTCCTCCAAAGAGGTTTATCCCAGGTGTGATCTCAGTTGGGGTGAGATATTTTACTTATTTATTTATTGCTGGGGATTTATCGAGGGTACAAAGAACCAGGTTACATTGATTGCTTGTGTCACTTTGCGTCTTTCCTATTAAACCTGGATGGAAGGGGAGATTTTATTTTTTGCCTGCTGTGGCTCTCTGTCTCTAGAGGGAAATCAGATGCAATAGGAATAGATTTTTCTTTGAGGGGGACAGGCTAGAGCAAATTGAATTTGTGGCTAATGCTCTGCACAGTCACGTGTTGCACCTTTTCTTTCATTGACTTAGATGTTCAAAGTCAGAGAGAACAAGCAGTCATTGTTCTTACATATATCACTGAACTTGATATAAATCCCTTGATGAACAGTCCTAGCGGTGAACCTAGTAATCCTGGGTATGTGCCATGTTATCAAATCCATGACTCTTTTTTTCTAAATTGGTTTGTGTATGATGTGTGGTGGAAAGTCAGACAATCCAGGGCTCAAATCCTAGCTCTGCCACTCAAGACCTGTGTGAACCTTAATTTCCACATTTGTAAAATGGGATAACATCTACCCTATAGGATTGGTGTAAGAATTAAAGGAGATAATTTATGTAGTAAGTGTGCTACATAGTAAGTATGATTTCTCATCATATCCCTGAGAGCTGTGAAAAGGAAAAATGGTTAGAGACGTACTCACTACAGAATGGTACTCATCTGGGCAAACAAGTGACTGCCATTTTGGCATCACAAGTAAAGGGGCTTTGACCCATAAAGCATTAGAGTAGTACATGGCATGGAAATTATAGCGTAGTTATGTAGAGAATTACCTCTGGCCAAGAGCATCTGCATAGAACATCTAAAATTCAATGGTAATAGCCCAACTCTAACTAGACATTGCTTGATGGAGCTCTCTTACTATCACACATTAAGACGGAAAAGTTCAGCAGAATGAGTCTCTTTGTAATTGTCCTATTTTATTTTCACCTGCAAAAGCTCCTTGGCAGATCCTCGCCTATCCACATCCATCTCAAGACAGCGATTTAAAAAGTCACGGAATACAGCTGACAGTCTCTCAGGATTCTGGAGCTCTGGGGTTCCATTAGTGGCTATCAGATATAATGCCTACAGGAAAACAAAAATTAAAAAAAATCTATTCAGCACACATATATTAGGATCATGGGTTGGCACAAAAGGCACAAATCCAGGTTCTTCTGGGTCTTCAAAATTCTATTTTAGAGAATGACATTCACATATATTTCAAAGTTTCTGCAACACTTATAAACGATTCATCTTGGTAATAACCGAGGTGATAATAAGGTGTCCCATAGCCAAAAGACTTTGAAATAAGGTTGTCCTGTAAGAGTTAAGCCAGTAAAAATCTGTATATAATGAAAAGTGTGACTGAGTACCTAGGAAATTAAACCAAAGGATTGCCTACAAATCCATTACTCTAAAGCAGCGGTTCTCAACCTGCGGGTTGTGACCCCTTTTTAACAATGAAAATACATTGCAGCATTAGGAAGGTTGAGAACCACTGCTCTAAAGAGTTGGGGAACACACATACATCCAATCATGTTGACCTGAGTATAACCTCAGAAAGGCTCAATGGAAAGGTCATTGTAATTTACTAAGTGCTTACGTTGTTTGAAGAATATTTGTGAGAAGACGTAGGGTGAAGAGAGTGGATTATGGAATTAGAGAAGTACAAAGACCTATCAGATGGCAGAGCTTGGATGAGAGGCCACCTGTGGGACCCAAGGACTCACATCCTTTAGTTCTGGGTCAGCTGTGTCCCTACTAATTAGATTTCCCAGGAAAGTCTACCTACAATGAGAGGAAATATGAGAAAAGTTGACAGTACTAGTGCTGGCACCTGACAATGATTATGGTAAAATAATAAGTTGTTAATAACTATGTATACATCTTTGAGATCTTTGTGGTCTAAGGCCACTACTAAGAGACGTCACCTCATAGTGTCTGACAGAATCAAGGTCCCTAGCCTTTAAGCCAGAGAGTGGGACCCAAGACCATGATTTACAAAGGTAAATTCATCTTTTGAAGGGTCTTCATAGCCAATAAAGCTGACTATTCTTGATGTCTCCCCTAAGCAATTAAGACTAGAGCATTTAGTATGTACCAGGTATTGTATTAGACACTAGAAATCCAAGGATAAGGATGAATAAGATAGTGATTTGCTATAAGATAAGGTGACCAGATTTTAACATTGGTAAAGCAGGACACCACTGACCAGGGGTGGGGGGGGGTGTTGGCTCTTAATTAAAAATTTGGTCGATATGGAGCAACAAAAATTTTCATAGAACACAAAAATAGTATTGTAATATATATATTTTTAATTTCAACATAAGTACAATTTACAAATATAATACATTAAAAAAAATTATGTATAGGGCGGTGCCTGTGGCTCAAAGGAGTAGGGCACCTGGAGACCTTGCCCAGGAGGGGAGTGGGGAGTTTACATTAGCCTTTTCATTTCCAAATGAAGTTACATTAACCTCTTCATTCCCAAATGGAGTTACATTAACCTTTTCAGCAGCCGAAAACCATGTACTCCAGTCTAGCTTGCCCTAACTTGTCGTGCATTCTTTCCAAAAACTGGGACTTTTAAAAAATGCCGCAGGATGGGAACAAATTGTTAAAAATCAGGACTGTCCCACCAAAAGCGGGACGTCTGATCACCTGATAAGATCACACAATTTAGTGGGGGACAAAGACTTATAGAGAGCTACAATACAGCTAGACAAAAGCTAATAGAAGAATGTAGTAAGTGCTAAGTAAATACAAGGCTGAAGCAATTTACACCAGAGCTGAGAGGAAGCTTCACAGAGGATGGCATTTTAAAAGGGTTTGAAAGGATAAATAGGAGTTTTCCTGTAGGTGCTGCCATGTAACCAATTTATGTCTGCCCATGTAACCAACTCCCTAACTTTTATGAAGACACGCTCCCTCCTGTACTAGCTTGGACTTTGTAGCAAAGCATCACCCCCCTTTTCCCTTTCTTTACCATAGCTTCTAATATCACTGTTACAAGTATTTCTTTTCTTTTTTCCAAGACAGAGTCTCACTTTATCGCCCTTGGTAGAGTGCTGTGGTGCCACAGCTCACAACAACCTCCAACTCCTGGGCTTAGGGGATTCCCTTGCCTCAGCCTCCCGAGTAGCTGGAACTGCAGGCACCTGCCCCAATGCCTGGCTATTTTTTGCTTGCAGTTAGGCCAGGGCCGGGTTCGAACCCACCACCCTTGGTATATGGGGCTGGCGCTCTACCCACTGAGCCACAGGCGCTGTCCTGTTACAAGTATTTCTATCAAAGCCCTTTCCCAAGGACATCCTAATTTACATTCCCAACAACACTATACAAGTATAATTCCTTTTCATCCTCATCAGTAGTTGTTATTTTCTATCTTTTTGATAATAGTCCTTTTTTTATTAAGTCATTTATACATAGATCATGAATACATTTATGCCTTTGTGGGATTCAATGTGTTGATTATTTGTACAAATTGGCGTGCTTACATCCTACTATTTAACATAACCTTCACCTCATTTACTTAATCACAGTGTTAAGACATTTGTGTTCTATACTTGATAGATTTGACTTGTACCTTTGCAATATGCTCCATAGGTGTGATCCCACCACAGCTCAATTCCTAATTGCCAAGTCATGGAAGAAGCCCAAGTGCCCATCGACCCATGAATGGATTAATGAATTATGGTATATGTATACCATGGAATACTATGCAGCATGAAAGACTCTTCAATGTAGAAGCTGTTAACCTATAGCATGTATCAGAATCATCTAGTATAGAGGGTTTGCTAAAACACAGGCTCCTGAGCTTCCCACACTTTTTGATTCAGTAAATCTGGGCAGAGGCTCAATAATTTGCCTTCTAAGTGCTCTGCTGATGCCTGACCACACTTTGAGAACAAATGGTTTAATCTAACAAATGGTAATTAAGCAATGGGTTTAAACTCGAGGTTCCCAGACATGTCTGCACATTAGAACCACCTGGGGAGATATTCAAAGTCCCCATGCCCAGCTCTCACTCCCAGAACAATGACGCAAAAATCTCTAGGACCTAGGCACCAGTGTTTGAAAGCTCTCTGGGTAATTCCAATTTGTAGCCAACATTGAGAACCACTGGTTGAAGACCTGCAGCCCATCCTATACTTAATAACTCAGAATCTCTGCATCATATACACCAAATGAGAGACACAGAATTCCCTAAAAGGAGATTGTCTTCTATAGTGATGTGTGAGAATTACAACGCCACATGCTTCTACAGAGTGCAATGAAACATTGGATTTTTTCCCCTCCTAATACTGTACACTTAAAAACCAATATGTAAATACACCCTGCCAAGTGAGCAGTTTCCTTTCCCCCACCTTTCATTCCTTTGGAAATGTCAATGATTTCCTTGATAAACAGCAAACGCTGATGCAGCTATTAGGAATTCATACCCAAATATAAGCCAGTGGCAAACCTAGTGTTGATTAAAAGAAAATGGGATGCGTTGGCACCTGTGGTTCAGTGGGTAGGGCACCGGCCCCATATACCGAGGGTGGCAGGTTCAAACCCAGCCCAGGCCAAACTGCAACAAAAAATAGCCAGGCGCTGTGGTGGGTGCCTCTAGTCCCAGGTACTAGGGAGGCTGAGGCAAGAGAATCGCCTAAGCCCAAGAGCTGGAGGTTGCTGTGAGCTGTGATGCCACAGCACGCTACCGAGGGCAACAAAGTGAGACTCTGTCTCTTAAAAAAAAAAAAGAAAGAAAATGTGATGGAAAAGGGACACAAAAACAGCATTTAGGAAATCAACTGGACCACAATCATAGTAGATACATTAAATTAATTTCAAACAGAACCTTTTGGTTCTTGGATAATTAGTGCTTGAAACACCTGTCCTCCAAACCATCTTTGTTCCCTTCATAAAAGAAAATAGGTTGTTGCAAATTACATTTGCTGCCTCATCTTAGAACTCTCTTATTTTTGCTGGCTGCAACCCCCACCCCCACCCCACACCATCTTTTTCCTGCTGTGTAGCCAAGTCCTAAACAAACGCACCTCTTTTCTGCCTTTCTCTACATCTTTTCTACTATCTGTATACCTGCACGTGTGCTAGACGGTTTCCTCACTTTCCCCCCATTATTCTTAGTTCAATATATTCTACTCCATATAATCTTCCTTACAAGTGCAGACACATCTTCTCTACCTAGGTCCTTCTCAACTCTGCCATCCATGCCTCGTTACCTCAGGAAATGTATGCCTCTTTTTCCATTCCATTTGTGAATCACAAAAAAAAATGACCTTAATCATGGTTGTTAAGCCTGAGTAGTGCTACTGATACAGGGCATCAAGGGAGAAGAAAGCCTTGCAATTTGAAAGATGATCAGAAGAAATAAGAAGCCAGTGTTACGAACCCTCCACAGCACTTCAAAGAACACACGTGTCCACTTCAGAACTTCTACAAAAAGACTGTTTTGGTGGGGGGTATGGGACTGATGTAAGGGGGTCTTGGTGGGTAGTCTAACAGCCTCCCCCCCCGGGTGGATTAGTATTGATCTGCTTACATTCTCTCACCCCCAAACTATGCCAAATGCAAGGGTGCCCCTTCCCCAACACTGTATCACAAATACGTTTTGATGTTTAATAAATCCTTCTTGAATATCATCTTAAGAGCTACACAATAATTCATTATTTTAAAATGCATCATAATTACTATTATTGGACTGATTATAAAAGTACATGCGCTAAGTAAAAGGTTGACACACACCAGTATGTTAACAGTGGTTCTCCCCTGGGTGGTGGGATTATTGGTGACTTAATTTTTTAAAATACATTTTTCAATTTTCCAGATTTTCTTTCTTTTTTTTTTTTTTTTGAGACAGAGCCTCAAGCTGTCCCCCTGGATAGAGTGCCGTGGCATCACAGCTCACAGCAACCTCCAACTCCTGGGCTCAAGTGAGTCTTCTGCCTCCGCCTCCCAAGTAGCTGGGACCACAGGCGCCCGCCACAACGCCCGGCTATTTTTTGGTTGCAGCCGTCATTGTTGTTTGGCGGGCCCGGGTTGGGGATTCGAGCCTGCCACCTTAGGTGTACGTGGCTGGT